GGTATGGATTACATCTCAATGTAAAGAAAACAAAAATCCTCACCATTGGACCAATAAACAATGTTCTTATCAATGGAGAAAAGATTGAAGTTGTCAAGGTCTTCATTCTTCTTCGATCAACCATCAACACTTATGGAAGCAACAGTCAAGAAATCAATGTATTGCATTAGGCAATGTGTTAAAGAGCAAAGATGTCAGCTTGAGGACTAATGTGCACCTGACCCAAGCCACAGTATTTTCAATAACCTCATATGCATGCAAAAGATGGACAGCAAATAAGGAAGACCGTAGAAGAATTGATGCATTTGAGTTATGGTGTTGGAGAATACTGAAAGTGCTATGGGATGCTAAAAGAACCAACAGATCTTTGCTGGAAGAAGTGCAGCCAGAGTGCTCTGTGGAGGCTGGGATGGCCAAACTTTGTCTCTCATACTTTGGACATACTGTCAGGAAGGACCAGTCGCTGGACAAGGATATGATATTTGGTAAGGTGGAGGGTCAGAGAAAAGAGGAAGACCCCAAGCAAGATGGATTAGCAAAGTGGCAGCATCAATGGGCTCACGTGTGGCAACAATTGTGACGTTGGCCCAGGATCGGGCAATGTTTCGTTCTGTTATGCATAGGGTCGCTATGAGTGGGTACCGACTCAATGGCACCTAATAACAACAACAATTCTATTATGTGTGTCATTTATGGCTGTTTTTAATTAAATTAATTTCCTCCCTGCTATGGGTTGTATTTGTTTCCTTTAATGTTTCTTTGCATGTCTAGTAATTTTTCATTGGACACCAGACATTGTAAATAAATCCAGCTGCTATGTTTTGTTTTTTATCTTTTCCTTTTCTTTCTTTTCTTGTTCCTTTAAATAATTTGGGACTTTTTTTTTTCTGGAATACAGTTAAGTTACTTAGAAAATGGTTGATATTTTTTGTTTTTGTTTTTTAACTTTTTATGTGTTTTAGGTGAACATTTACATAGCAAATTAGGTTTCCATTTAACAATTTTTATACAAATCGTTCCATTCTGGTTTTAGTTATCTAAGAAGCTGTGGTAGAATCCTGGTGTGGTGCTGTGGGTTCATGCACTCAATAGTAAAGTCGGGTTGAACTACAAGGTTGGCACTTCAAGCTTACTAGCCGCTCCTCAGAAACCCTACAGAGGGTTGTTATAGGTTTGAACTGGTTCCGGGGTACTTAACAACAACAAAGGAGCTGTAATATCATAATGATTTAGTCGGGCTGCTAATCTCAAGGTCAGCAGTTCAAAACTACCTGCTCTTCCACAAGAGAAAGATGAGGCTTTCTGCTTCCATAAAGATTTACAGCCTCAGAAACTCTATACAGGTTCTTTATGAGTCAAAACCAACTCCACAGCACAACACCACCATCACCACCACCAGTGCTACTATAACAGAAATACCACAAATGGATGACGTTAACAAACAAATTTATGCTCTCACTATTTAGGAGGCTAGAAGTCCGAAGTCAGTGTGCTGGCTCTAGGGTAAGGCTTTCTCTTTCTGTGGGCTCTGGGTAAAGACCCTTGTATCCTTTCAGTATCTGTAGGCTTGCTATCTCTTAGGGATTTCCATGTGTCTTGGTATCAATCTTCCCCTGGATCTGCGAGCTTCTCAGTGCAGGGACCCCAGGTCAGATGAATGCATTCCACTCTTGGATCCTCTTTCTTGGTGGCAGTTGTTTTGTTGTTGTTAGGTTTCTAGTCAGAGCAATCCTATGTACAATAGAATGAAACACTGACCAGTCCTTTGCCATCTTCGCAATTGTCTGAGCCCACTGTTGTTGTCATTGTATCAATCCATCTCTTTAGGAGTCTTCCTCTTTTTTGTTGACTTTTCACTTTACCATGATGTTCTGTTTTCAGGGACTGGCCCCTCCTGACATGTTCAAAGTATAAAAGACAAAGTCTTACCATCCTCACTTCTAAGGTTCATCCTGTCGGTACCTCTTCCAAGACAGATTTGTTTGTTTTTCTGGCAGTACATGGTAATTTTAATATTCTTCAGCAACACCATAATTCAAATGCACATTTTTTTCTACACTTTTCCTAATTCAATGTCCAACTTTCACATGCATATGAGGCTATAGAAAATACCATGACTTGGGTCAAGCTGGTCTTAGTCCTCAAAATGATATCTTTGCTCTTGAACACTTTACAAAAGTCATGTGCAGCAGATTTACTTAATGCAATACGTCATTTGATTTCTTGACTGCTGCTTCCATGAGTGTTGACTATGGATTCAAGCAAAATGAAGTCTTTGACAACTTCAATTTTTCCTCCATTTATCATTATGTTATTTATTGCTGGGAATTTTGTTTTCTTTACATTTAGGTGCAATCCATACTAAAGATTTTAGTTTTTGATCTTCATAAGTATTTTAAACTCTTTTCACAACCAGCAAACATCTAATCAATGTTGTGATGGGATTAATGGTATTGCTGTTGTTATTGTTGTTGTGTTCTGTCCGCTTCCAAGGCTGGAAATCTTTAATGGAGCAAAAAGTCTCATCTTTCTCCCATGGAGCAGCTGGTGGATTCATCTGGTCTAACCTTACCAAGACAACCACAGTTCCATCCACCACATTGTTGTTAAATTCTGTCGAGTCAGTTCTGATTCATAGCAACTCTGTATAGGGTTTCCAAGGAGTTGCTGGTGAGTCTGAACCACCAACACTGCAGTTCAAACTGACTTTATGGTCCAGAGCATTATCCTGTGCCACACCAGCCATCACGCTGGGAGTGAGTTAATTAAATGTTTGACTAAATATAGCAGGCTGAAACCCTAGGGCAGAGAGGCACCACTCTCATTCCTGTTTCTTGGGATTGTTGACAACCACATAGTGATAGAAAACAATAAGCAAGAAAAGCGACATGCCCAGCATGTTGGCAGAAATGGCAAGCTGCACATATGTGACCATCCTGATTTTCCAGGCTCAGTTCCCTGCTCACAATCTTTTAAGATCCCAGAAGCTATTTACCAAACTAGGATGTAGAACATTATCTTTGCAAATTATACTATGCTAATTGTCTACATTGTCCCATGAGATTATGGTCCCAAGCTTTTTAACCCTATAAATCAAACCTGCAAATTGTTTAGATATGTTTACAAAGTAGAGGATTGCTTGTAAGCTTTTTTTAGGCAGGTCTAAGGAGCTCTGGTAGCGTAGTGGTTACGAATCGGGCTGCGAACCTTAAGGTCAGCGGTTCGAAACTACCAGCCGCTCCGCGGGAGAAAGATGAGGCTTTCTACTCCCGTAAGGATTTACACCCTCGGAAACCCTGTACAGGGTCGCTATGGGTCGGAACCGACTCGACGGCACTTAACAACAACAACAACAACAAGGATAAGCACTTAACAACAACAAAGGATAAGCACTGGGCTGCTAACCACAAGATTGGTGGTTCACACCAACCCACCACTCCTCGGAAACCCTATAAGAGGTTCTCTGTAAGTCAGAATTGACTTGACAGCACTTTACAACAACAACAAAACAGCTACTGAGGCAGAGCCCTTAAGACTCTACAGGTCTTACCGCTCAGGTTGATGGCTGCACTAACCATACCCAGCTTTATGGGAGGCCCAGTGATTGCTCCTTCTCCTGCTTTCTAGTGATTCCTTCCCAGACTCACTAGTTTCCTTACACACATATATTAATCAATATTCAGCCAAAGAATTCAAAGCATATCTCTTCCAGATACTCAGAGTTCTCTCTCTGTGCAAGTCTCTCTAGTTACTTTGGCCTTCCCAAAGTCCAACTGTCTCTTGAACTCATTAAGACCATTGGGCTCTATTTGAATCTCCCCTCCTGGTACTGTGGCTGAGAGACTCTCTAGGCAGTGATCTGGAGTACTCACAGAATTCATTTCATTTGTTTTCTTTCTCTAGGGATCACAGTCTTGTGCTGCCTATTGTCCTATGTCTGAAAACCATAATTTCATATGTCTTATTTGGTGCTTTAGTTTTTTTAAGATAGGAGGATAAATCCTATTCCTGATACTTCATCATAGCTGTAAGTGGGAAGCCTTGAAACCCCTAATGAATTAATGTATCTCTCTATGCATGAAGCATCAATGATTGCTAATATCAAAAAGAACTAGTCAGATATTATGTGTCGTCTGGTGGAGAAATACAAATAACTGTGAAATAGTCTAGTAAAAAAATATTTAAATTTTAAATCCTGAATTTTAATTTAATTTAAATTAAAAATTAATTTAATTTAAATTTAACTGATTTAATTTAAATTTAAAATCCTGAATCTAATCCAACAACACAGGAAATACACATATATAAAATGGGAATATCTTAAAACTGTATAACAGTTTTATAACCAACAAATCCAAGTTCCAAGAAACGCTAGGACAATTAGCTTCTTCAAATAAGTTACAAGAAAGCAATATGGAAGGAAATATATAGATTAAAAATGATATATGATACATCAGTCTACTATATTATCAGGATCTTATTTGGACCCTGACTCATGCAAAAAGAAAAAAAAAAAGCTCTAAGAAAAAGATTATGGTATTTGTGTGACAATGTGGAATTTTGAATGCAGGATGGACATTTGATAGTATTAAGGAATTACTATTAATTTTAGGTGTGATGATGATTTTATTAATATATTAAAAGAGTTGTTTTTAGCAATATTTTTATATAGTATAGCTAAAATGATATATTTGGTATTTGTTTCAATTTAATGTGGTAGGGGTAAGTGATGAGGGTATTGACCCTCAATAGGTAATTGTGAAAGCTGGGTGTTTTATATGTTTGAAAATTTATATTATATACCTGTGGACCAGTCACTTCTATCTAAGTCTAGTTTTCTCTACGAAGTGTGAAATACAAACCTATTCCAATACTCCTATTATATCCACTCATGAGCCATGTGACATGAGAAAGTTATTTAATCTTTTTTTAGGCTTCCATTTCTTCAGTATGTAAGAGTTGATGAAAATAATAGCTAACTTATAGGATGGCTGCATGGATTAAATTGGATGATGTATGCTAAAACTCTCATCAAAGTAAGCATTCAATAAATATTACCATTATTACTTCTTGTTGCATCTAAGAAATGTCAAAAGATGAATTATGTACTTTTAAAATAACTTTTTGAAAGTAGAAGCTTCAGCCTTCCTCCTTCCACATCTCTTCTCTTTAGAACAAAGGCAAGAATATTTGAAACTTCCCCTCTAAAATTCTATGGAACAATGTGCCCAAGAGCACAAGCCAGAAGAGAAAGCACTTGCTCTTCTTCCCAGTGAACGTCATGCTATGGGTCTGGAAAAACAGAGGCGCCACTTTGGTCATTTTCAGAATATAGTATGCAGCTGTTCTTCTGGTATGCCACACATCCTGAGGTTACTCCTAAGGGCTAAAAACAGAGCTCAGGCGATCAGCCCAGTGTAGCCAAGATCATTCTTTTTCAAGGTGGCCCCATTTCAAATAAAATGAACACTCTGTATGTACCCTTTTCATAGCCAAGAGTGGTCTTTTCCACCAGACTGTGAGCTCCTTGAGGGCAAGGACTGTGTCTACGTTTTCTTATTGCTTATGTGGCTGGCAAAGCACTTGAAATAGATCAGCACTCAATAATGCTTGTTGAATGAGGGAGTTAACGCTTCCTTTTATATTATTCAGGGTGGAGTAGGAATGGGGAAGGAACATTAATTGACATGCAAAGATCCAAGAGTTGGAGGGATTTAAAAAATATTAGACTTGTTCACAGCTTCAATTCATTTCTTATTTCCCACTATTCACCATTTTATAACTTTTTATAACCAATGCCCTGAATTATTTATGGTTTACCAATACCCATAAGTAATATTTCTTCTCTGCCTCTGCTCATGCTATCCCATCTTACTACTACTGTCAGTCTCTGAATCACCTGTTGACACACTTTCTCTTGCTCACACTCTCTCTCCCAATTTATACATAGTTGGCTCCAGCTCCTCCTCTGCCATAAAGTGTAGCTAAAAGGGATATCTTCCTCTTGGTTTCCTATTGTTGTTGTTGTTGTTATTAAGTCCCACCAAGTCAGTTCTGACTCACAGTGATCCCATATAGGGTTTCCGAGGAGTGGCTGGTGGGTTTGAACTGCCAATCTTGTGGTTTGCAGTCCAGTGCTGATCCTACAGCACCATACCAGGAATGCATAAAACTTTTTATTTAGCTTTGGGACTTAAAATATTCTATCATGTGCTGTGGTTAGTTTTATTACCCACAGTTGTCAAGTTGACTTTGACTCATAGCAACTCTATCAGATATAGCAGAACTGTCTGATAGAATTTACTCACTGGGTAATAGAATTTACTTACTGCCATCAAGTCTATTTCGACACATAGTGATACTGGATAGGGTTTCTAAGACTGTAAATCTTTATGGGACCAGAAAGTCTCATCTTTCTCCCACAGAGCAGCTGGTGGGTTTGAACAGCTGACCTTGCAATTCAGTGTTTATCCTTCAGTGCCATCAGGGTTCCTTACTACATAAGGTTTGTTGTTATTGTTAAAGGCTGTTGAGTTGGTTCCAGCTCATAGTAACTATGTATAGGGTTTTCAAGGAGTAGCTGGTGAATTTGAACTGCCGACTTTGCAGGTCAAACAGACTTTGTGGTCGAGTGTTTTATCCCACAGTACCACACCAGGATTTATGAGACAATAAATGTTTAGGGAAGCATATGGCCTTATCTTTCTCCTGAGAAGTGTCTGGTAAGTCTGAACCAACAACCTTCTGATTACCAGCTCAGTCTTAACCCACTGCACCACCAGCACTCATTGGTTGATTGTACTAATTCCATATTTTTTACATGATTGAGGGCAAGGAAGTATTAATTTTGTAGGCATCAAGCATTGTGTTTTGTACCCAGCTAGCATTGTTGTTGTTAGGTGCCATAGAGTTGGTACTAACTCATAGGAACCCTATGCACAACAGAAAACACTGCCAGTCCTGAGCCAACCTCATAATATTGCTATGCTTGGAACCACTTCTGCTGTCACTACGCCAGTCAATCTCATTGAGAGTCTTCTTTTTCCTTCAACCTTCCACTTTACCAAGCTTGACGTCTTACTTAGGGACTGGTGTCTCCCAAATAATATATCCAAAGTATGAGAGGCGAAGTCTGGCCATCCTGGCACCCAAGGAGCATTCTGATTGTACTTCTTCCAACACAGATTGATTTGGTTTTTTGGCAGTCCAAGGTACCTTTAATATTCTCCTCCAACACTATAACTCAAATTCTTCTATGCTCTTCTTATTCAATAGTCTAACTTTCACATGCATATGAGGTTACTGAAAATACCACAGCATGGGTCAGGTGTACCTTAGTCCTCAAACTGACATCTTTGCTGTTCAACACTTTAAAAAGGTCGTGTGCAGATTTGCCCAAAGCAAAACATCATGTGATTTCTTGATTGCTGCTTCCATAAGTGTTGATGGTTAATCTGAGCAAAATGAAGTCTTTGCGGATTTTTTGTTTTCTTTTTGTTTCGTTTGCATTGAGATCAAACCCTGTGGACTTTGATCTTCATCAGTAAGTATCTTAAATCCTCTTCACTTTCAGCAAGTAAGGTTGTATTATCTGCATATTGCAGGTTGTTAATAAGTCTCCCTCCAACCCTGATGCCACATTCTTCATATAATCCAGTTTCTCAGATAATGTGCTCAGCATACAGATTGAATAAGTAGGGTGAACAAATACAGCCATGGCATACAACTTTACTAATTTTAAACCATTTAGTGTTCCCTTGTTTTGTTCAAACAACTGCCTATTGGTCTACGTACCAGTTCCTCATGAGCACAATTAAGTGTTTGGGAATACTCATTCTTCTCAGTGTTGTCCATAGCATGTCATGATCCACATAATCAAAAGACTGTGCAGTCAACAAAGCACAAGTAAACATCTTTCTGGTATTCTCTACTTTC